AAAGAGTACCTCCAAGAAATGCACTCTTCTTTCTGGCTAGCTGTCATCCAAAAATCAAAATGGGGTAAAAGTGTTCAGAGTCATCAGAGGCTACTACTGACCAATATAATTAAAAGTCCAAAAGTTAAGTGAAAAATAAAGCTAGCCAAGTTAAGAAAAATATGTCTTACAACCATGCTTCAGCCCTTCGCTCCTTATAGAACATAATCTTGGGAGCAAAAGATGAACAGTCAAGTTAAAGACAGTAACATTTCTAAAAATGGGGACTATCCTCTTCCAAATATCTGAAAATTCCTAAATGCCATTAGCATTTAATGAACTCGGAACCTCTCAGATGGCTTTAAAAATCTAAGCTGACTCTTTCCATTCTGTTAAAACAACTACAAATTTTAAACCTCTTAATTCTTACATTGTAAGCTGTTCTAAAATATTACATGTTTACAATACCGGCAGTAACAGAATAAATGATTAACAAATTATTCAAAGATGAAGGCTGCAATATTGTTGTCTACATGGAATGATAATAGTAAAAGTATTGGTCTCCTAGGTGTTAATGTTGACTTATCAGTTACCATTTCAATATTACAAATGTGCATAAAAAATGGAATATAGAAGATCTTTAAAATAATAAAAGGAAGAAAATGAGACAAAACTCAAGCTTCATTTCTATTCACTTCTTAGTAGAATTTCCTATAGAAATAGAACTATTTTACATCTTTATTGAAAGTTTTGTAGTAAGGAAAAATAAAAAACCCTAATTACAGTCATTAGTAATTGTAGTAATTTTGTGTTATTAGGAGTTGTGACCCTGTGGGGGAAACTAGATTTTGGCAATATGAAATACTATACATGATGAAAGAAAAATCATGACTTGCAGACACACAGATTCAACAAGTGTAATAATTTCTACTGCAAGGGCTACTAGCAATCTCTGTTATGAAACTGTGTATTACACATTGCCCAGTGGGAGGCAGATAGGCAAAGTCTGTTTACTTATGGATTTGGCATAATTGAAAACAAACAGGTGTTTGTTAGGATATCATTATTCAAGGAGCACCACTGCAAAATAAGATTTTTCAAAGGGATTGACTCATGAGACGTAATGGAAACAGTGAAGTATAGAGCTTAGCTAGCTATACAATGACTATCTAGGGATTTACTAATAGTGGAAATATCGTACTATGTAAACAGCAACCCCAGAAATAAATTTCCTAGGATAGAACTCGGTGAGATAATAGGAGCAATAGGGCAAACTTAAGAAAGGCTTTATTTAGAGTGATTTCCAGAAAATGAAAAAGAAACACTGCCCGCCCTTCTCCAAAAGAAGCTCCCTAACAGTGAGATGAATGAAATGTTTGGATAATTTTCTAGGAAAAGAATTTCAGTCAAAGATTGGTATTTCAGGCAAAAGGGAACAGTGCACTAAAAATGCACAAAAGGGAGCACCGATTTAAACAGTAAGTATTTCATCTCTGTGTTAATACAAGGATTAAAAAAAGGCCCACTGCTTGGGAGAGGTGACATTGTACAAAATATTCTTGGAGCACCTGAAAGCAAATGCAGGTTTAACTGATAATTTCACTTCCAATTTAAAACAAAACATATATTTTGTTAGTTCACTATGTATTTGCAGACTCCTGATTTGAAAGCAGATCTCATATTTATACTGTAAAAGCAGCACCTCTGGGGATGATATTCATAGCCTTTGACATAAGAGAGTTACATGACCGTAGAGATGATCACTATGGAACTCTTTTGTCCTTATTCCTGCTTTTAATTAATAAAAGAAATTAATCATTTTAATAGGCTAAATAAGCTTTAAAAGAGCAGAATCGCATTCTAGATTGAATACAATCTTCATAAAGAGCGTATCCGATAATGTTGTTTAATTAAACAAATATTTTCTTTACAGAAGACCACTCAGAACACATAGCAAATGCTGCTGTTCACCCTAATTCAGCAAGCAGCAGTTATTACTATTTCATTCAGCTAGAGGCTTCGTAGCTGACTAGATTTCAGAATGGGCACCAGTGGTGCCGCCAATACAATCTAAAACATTCTCAGAAGAATCCATTCCACTTCTGCTTCCAAGTTTTAGAGTACACATTTCTACTCCAAAGTGTTGTACAGAAAAATGGCTGACAGCAGCATCTATCATTTCAGTTTGTCTTTGCTATTTTTATTATTAAGGCAGCTTTTTATAATTCAAAAAACCCACTTGCACACAGTCTTTTTCCTTTTGTAAAAAAGACTTCACATCTATTTGCTTCCTGACACAATCAAATGGTGGCATGATATAAGATTTTTTGTCTATAAAATCACAGTTGTGACCAGGACAGAAAAAGAAACACAGCTTCATCTTCTACACAAAATACAGAGTGCACAACAGTACTGGATTCCAAAAAAATTCACTGTAACCATAGAACTTTTGATCATTCCTGTAGAACATTGCAATATACGTCATCTTTTTCGTAAAAAAAAAAATTATTAAATATACTTTGAGGACAGTTGACATTACTCACATATGTTTATAAATACCACATTTACCTTAACAAGAGCTATTGGGAAAATTTACATTTTTAGGGGGCTTATTTCACATTAATGTGCTTTTGTCACAAAACAAAACAAAACAAGAGCCATAACACTAGCTTACTTGTGGATGTGTATACTAGTGAACTGGGGGCACTGTACACGGGAGATCCCTCCTGGTTTGCCTGGCACAGCAGCACCCTGCCTACAAGAAAGAGAGAGAGAGTGGTATCTGGTTTTGGAAAACTCAAACTAAACCTCAATTTTTATCTCAAAACAGAAACAAAGTCATAACCGGAGCAGAGCAGTGAAGCAGGGGCACTATTTGTCCTTTGACTTCAAAGCAGAAAGAGCCCCAATAAACATGTACAATTTCACATTTAAAAAAGCAAAAGACAGACATCCCCCCAAATATAAAGACCCTTTTTATCACATGGGGAAGCATTCGCAAGGCACACCAGTCCCTCACCCAGCTGCCCTCTCTCCCTCTCTGCCTTGTCTCTCTGAAAGAGAAGCTGCCGAGCTAACTCTGCTGCTAACAGGAGCCACTGACCCACCCACGCCACCCCGCTCCTAACTGCTCATCTCCCTAACTCTACCTGAAATGAGAGACCTCTCAAGCAGACACAGCAGATAAACCGGACTGCAAAGCTCCCATATACAGACATTAGGCCAAGTATGATCTCAGTTATATCACTTAAATTAATACTGGTGCAAGTAATTAGTAATATATGTGAAGATTTCAGTATTTCTTGCTCAAATGAGAAATATATAAACATAATCTACTTTCCGGTATATAAGCTGCAGTCAGGATTTAGAACAAAAGAAATAAAATAAATGAAACCTTTTTTTTAAAAAAAAAAAGAAAAAAAAAATGTAAAAGTAACCAAATCAATTTAAAACAACACTTTTGCAATGCATGTTCATTTTGAACAAATCACAGAGGTTTAGGCTTTTTTTTTTTAATTAACCTAAATAAAATGCCTTACTACTTCAACATCTTTCTTAAAATTATATTCTAGCAGTCGTAGCTGAATACAGATTGAACATTGATTAGAGGTAGAAACAACTATACTTTCATACTAGGAAAAAAACTTCTGCACTTGTGGAATACAGTCTAACTGGGAGAGCAGAATGTGACACTTCTGGTTTTGCAGATATATGTGTATATATCTATACATACACACACACAATTATATATATACATACACTGACATCAAGCTCTCAGGATTTGTGAATCACGCAATTTCAAAAATATTAAATCGATTTGTGGGACTTCAGAAGTTGTGCATTGACTTATAAGCAATGTAACCCAACAGAGTTGAGTCAAATGCATTTGGAAGGACCATATTAATTACAAATGGGAGGCATGTTTTCCATATAGTATTGCAAGAGCGATTCTCAACTTACATTCAGTTACCAGACCAGATTTCTTTCAAAATACATTTAAAAAAAAATTTCTGTCATTAACCAGTTCTTTAATCATGTCAGTTGACATCAGCAGCTGTCAGTTGAAGCAGAAATACAGGAAATACTGAAGGAAAATAATTCTTGTAATTCATGCAATTTAGCCAAGTCTGTGAGCACTGGAAATCTCACAGTATTACGCTTCTAAACTGCCCAGACAATAGCATACCCTTAACTAACAGGATTTGGAGATGCTTGCTGTTTTCCAGCCTACCACTACTAATCTGAAAGAGAAAACAAGCTAAAAATCTTTTTTTTCGTTCCTTTAAGACAGCGCATGGTTGACTCTATTGGTATCTGTCCAGTCTTCCAAAAAAATCCACAACTGGAAGCTGTTAAATGAACATATACCTATTGAGATCCTAATGGCAAGCAGCCTTTCCAGGCTAGTAGATAAACAGGACCTATTAACACACTCACTTGACGCTAGGAATGTGTACACTGGAATATGGATGTATTTAACATCATAGATGCTTCAAACCTTGTGTTACTACAGAAGCCTGAAAATGAAAGTGAGCTGACGACATAGAGGCATTCATCCAGCTGAGTGAAATGCAGAAAGGAATTATTGAAATCAGTAATTTTCATTAGGTTTGAAGAATAATGTAACTGTAATGACTTCAAGTATGTTTAGCAAATACAGAAAGATAAAAGGTTTTTAGAAATTGAAGATTATACTTTATTTATATTATTCTAGATGACACTTGCTTGTTCCATGGTCCATAGGTATTTTCCTATTCTTTGCAGCTAACATTCTTATATTTTTTTCTCATTTCATCTCACACAAATCTAATTTTCCCTACTCTAGTCTTCTAATTTCTAATGAAAGTACTTCAAAATAGATGCTACTAGAGTGTATTTAATTTGTTGCACAGAGCTTTCTAATTGTATTTTGACAATCTGCCTTCAAATTTGTACATAAAATTAATACTAATACCTAAAACACTATTATTAGATTTTGTTAGAAAAAAATGGAACTTTTTAATCCACTCTTGTGAGAAAAGATTTTCTGCTGCATCTAATTTTGGTATTAAAAATATTTGTATTGTAATTAATACAACTGGGGAAAGATTGACTTATTTACAATATGATTTTCTGGATAAACCTCAGAACATTGAAACAATCGATAAATTCCCTAATGGAAAAAATATATATACTATTTTTCCTCTAGAATACTAAATTCTAGCATGACAGAATAAAGCTGGGGAGTTTTTTAAGAAAGAGGATTTTAATATAAAGTTCTTAATATTTCTGTCCAAACTGTAATTTAATAACATAACGGAGCTGAGGAACTTCAAAAAATTAGTCATCCAAGAGTTCATCTTTAATTCTACAATGCCTTCGGTACCAGCATATTTAAAGCTGGTATTTTCTCATTACGAACAGTCTGCATTGGTTTTTTGCTTTTCTCTGATACAAGCATTTGGTCACAGCAGACTTGTGACCAGCAATACAGGATTTCGGACATCAGCAGCAGAAAGTCCCTCCTGACACACTCCATCAAAAGGATCAGAAAAATCGCAGCATCTGTATCTGAGGAGTGCATTCACTCCAGGCACATAGGAGAGCTTTAGACAGACCAGTGGCAGAAGGGTAACTGAGGCAGCCACCCTGCTGGGTGTAACAGGAGGAGAATGGTCTGCCGTGGCTGAGCAAGCCGGAGGGTTGTGTGGCACACAACAGGCAGCTGTGCTGCGGCAGGGCATGGGGGTGTCGGCTGAGCACTGCTGTGCCATAGCAAAGAGCCCCCCAGGCTGACTCACCGCTCATCCTTGGCATATAGGCTGGCAGCACAGCCAAAACCATACTTTTCAAGATCCAAAAAATATTCCCACCCATGCTTCCCTTCCTCCAATGTTTTCTCCTACAGTCCATGATTAAGAATGTACTGTTTGATTAGGGCCTTTGTTGAAGCACTATAGTTATTTTGAGGAAATAATTACTCTAAAAATATTCAGGGCTGTGAAGAAAATGATGTGAAGTCATTAATATTTTTAGAATACTAAAAAATCAGTTCCCAATGGTTCCAAGATATCTGACAGTTTGCCTAATTTTTTCCATACTTCCAAAAAAAAGTTCTTGCCTATAGTTATTTACATTGCTCATATAAACTAACCTACAGAGCATAAACAGAAATACCAGTGTACTAGTGATGACGCACAGGCTACTCACTGGCTCATACAAGACATATGAAAAAGTTCACTGTATTTCTCAAATACTCACGTAGCTAAGTACCACCCAGGATCAACAACGGGAGGACTTTGCGGTAAATTATAAAGGATTTTAAATCAGTTCTGTTAAAAATAGCTTTCAACTGGAACCACCGTGTAGCCAGCACTACAGACAGCTTAAAAGTAAAGATCTGGAATAAGTTAAAAGAATTTGCACAATTAGTTGGCATCCTTTGTAGAAGTATAAACTGAAACAACTTTTTCAGCAGAAAAAAATTCATACCATTAGCTAAACTTACACTGCTGATGTAAAATTAACAGTGTTGCAAGCCCTTGATCATGGGAATAACTCTCCTCTGTCACAGGAAGTAAATGACACTTTCAGAAACCTCCACTACTGGGATTGTATAAAGTTTATATACCATTACTGAGAACCTGAGCTTACAATGCATCACCTCCCAGTATAGATGGCTTTAGTACCTCTGCTCACAAACAAAAAGTTTCCAATTTACAGTGCTGTTATCTATTCCCCAAGAATTTTGGGAGATTTACAAAAAGGAAGAGGACAGAAGTTGCACTGTAGTACTCAGTAACTTGCTGGGGTATGCCCTGGAACGTAACAAAGTGAGACATAGGGGGAAAAACTGATTTCCTGCTTTCACTCTGGGAATCATAAAGAACCACAGCTTCATATAAAGCTCTTCAGACAACTCAAAAAATTACAGTGGTACTGGGCTCTCTATAGCATATAATTACCTCCACCATAACAAGAGGGTAATCACATAGGCATTTTCAGTGGCAGAAATTTATCACGTCAACATCCAGGGCTGGGCTACATTGGTTATTAGTGCACAGGTAGCCAAAAAGAGCATTTATAATATAGGAACTAAGTAACTGACTACGTACAAGGAGATTTAGTGAAGATTACATCACTCTAATCCATTGTGCACTCAGCTTTCCAGGTAAAGTAGCTCTCCTTTATACATATTTATTCTATTGTGTTACCAATAAAAGTTTCTTACTGCTTTTCATGACTAAGTACCAGTTCATACATTCTATAATACTGTTTAGCAAAAAAACTCCAAACCAACCCACAGGAGAAAATTAATAAAAGCAAAAAATAATTGTGTCCCATTTTCCTATATAATTATAAAATGTTATTTTATGACCCTAATCTAAAAGCTGCATTATTTATTAAATTCAGTGATTGTTAATTTCCTCTTTCTCCCCATACAGCTGGATGTTACATAGCCCAGTCTTCTCCCTGGGTTAGTTCTCAGTCATTCTGATGACTGTCTTTCTTTGTACCTTTTGAAGAGCTATTATTCCTATACTCTTAATTCCTCTTCAATGTACAATGCAGTGTTATCAAAGATCCTCATAAACAATCCATGTCCACTCTTGATTTACTGTTCTAGAAGTGTAATTAATATTGGTCTTTCTGGGTAGAAATAGCATTATCGCTGTTCTGGTCTGAAATACTGTTCTATGATGGGTTATTTCAAAATGCAGCACAGAAATGGATCAGAAACACCCAACTAAAAGGTCACTGTTGTACAGCAATAGA